CTACGAATTAGTTGGATTACAAAGTCCGGTGAGTGACCGCAACCGTAACACGTGACTGGTTGGCGCGCAACGTCACGTGTCATCGATTAGAATTCGACGTGCCCTTTTGTCGTTTTTCCGCGCACTCTACGGCGACAGAATGGGCGTGATAGAACCTGGCTCTTGTACGGAGCGTCCATGCTGGTATATAGGAGGACTATGGCAGTTGGTCGAATGTGCCGGCAAGTGGTTTAGCCGGCACCCCGGGGCTAACCTCCCTTGCCCTGCGCGCGAAGCGCGCGCAGCCGCTGCGTGTATTTTTGGATAGTCGCCCAAGGGCGGCTGTGGTGGAGGGGGTATTGTGCACTCACCAGCGAGGCGCTATACCCTCTCACGTTGGTGCTGAAACGTGTGGGTACACATCAGTAGTGTAGCTGCGCGCTCCAGTGCCAACGTGGATTACGGTAGCGGTCACTCACCGGACTGTTAAATCCGGCTTGTCATCCCGGCGCGCTCCCCTTCTGCTGCTGGCGTTTTCGAAATGGGGCGCCAACCACGACCATCCCCCCTCCCCTTCCGCATGAGTCACCCCCATCACCTTAGCCTAACGCTCGCAAACGCGGTTCTCCCACAGCGCGCACTCCCTCGCCCTTACGCCTCCAACCCCGACTCTCTCCCGTGCATGCTCTCTCGCGCCGTCTGGCGCGTGCTCTCTCGCACTGCACTGCTCCCTCGAGCAGCATAGCCCGCGTCCCCTCTCGCGTTGCGTGCTACCGTGACAGACAGACAGACACACAGAACACCACAGACAGACAGACACACACAGACAGGCATACTTAGCCACTTATGGCTAGTAGGATCAGTTGTTGTGTTGCAAAATCAGTTATCACCCATCAACTATTACCTATGAGCCACTGGTAGCCAGATTTACTTGGAGGCCGTTGTCACTTATGGTGTCAGGTTTGCACTCGACGCGCATCTGGTTCTCAGAATCAAAGGGTACATGTTGAAGTCTCGCATGATTAATTTCTTTATGCTTCTGCCACGAGGTTCGTAGGTAGAGATCTCATTGCGGCGGAAACATCATCAACTTTTTATTTACAAAACTTCGTCCATCACGGCATTTTCAAAGACCTCCTATTCCACCATCTGATTGGTCCCCCGGCAAGCGCCGGACTCTCACTTCCTAGTGTTCCTCCTCCTCACCTTATCCTCCCATCCTATCCCCACTGCTCTCCACCGCAGAACCTTGTGAAATGACTGAAAGTGTACTGAGTAGGTGTTTATATAGCCGTTGGGGTATTATCACAATCACGTTGCAATAATACCTCAACACCGGATCGAACCGTAATCTTGAAAGCGGTGCACTCCCTCCCTCTTTCCTCCCCTCCCCCTCCTGCCCATCCCCTTTCTTCCCCCTCCCTCCCCTTTCTCCCCCTCCTCCCTTTCTCTCCCCCCCCTTCTCCCTCCTCCTCCGGCTGCCACGGCAGCACCATGTAGAATGAGACTGAGTGTGCTCGATCGGTGTTTATATAGCCGCTGTGGGTGTTATCATGATCATGACATCAACATCACGAAGTTTCCCTGGTTTTGTGAGCGGTTGGTCCGGACGGACAGAACGACACACACACCGACAAACCGACACACCAAAGTTCTGGTTTATATAATGAAGTGATTGAAGACTAGATAATGATAAGCAAACCTTCAAGAGCTTCCAAGCATTGGATTCCGCATGAAATCGCACATCCGATCGTCATGTGCCCTCCAGGTCCTCCCCTATTTAAATCTTGTAGCGATTTACCCACAAGGGTCATAACCACCTGTAAATGCAATCAAAAAGGGTGCTCATGTCGTTGAGGAAGGGGGTGAGGGCATTCGAGTGGGTGAGCCATTTGTAGTACTTGGGGCTGAGCCTCAGGGAGGATGCAGGGTGAGTAACGGTCGAGGGAATCCTGACAGTGGCTCTATACTGTGGAAGAATGATTGGGTGAATGACCGCGTGAGAGAGCTTATGTGAACAGGCAAAAATTTTCGAGTCGTCAACGTATCCTCGACCGATTTTCATCCTGGGAGATGTGAGGAACTTGTGCTCTCCCTGGGGTTTCTCCCCGCTCCTGAGCTTAGTCCTAGTGTAACGTACCACGGGCCCTCTTTTGAATGCCCCTCCCCATAAGGCCATGAGCGCCCAAAAAGGACGCCATCGTGTCGTCCCACGTTGTGCTCTCTTCAGATAACTCACATAATTGAAATTCCCGTATCTTCCCTTGTCTTCAATTCTGCAGAAATGTCGTGAGCCACGTTTTGTCAACTCTGTCAGCACGTAGACTTCCATTTTCAAAACCTGTAATAAGCTTTTTCTAAGGTCAATTTGAGCTGTTTGAAGTGGGAATGAGACAGTCTCCCAGACTGTTTGGGTAGAGTGGATCCTGAAGAAACCTGTGACACCAACCTGAATCTGCTCGGCCACTCCTTCAACTTTAAGCGCGTATTGACCAGTGCCATCTCGACACCGATATACGGCACCGAAACCACCTTCACCCAGTTTCTTCTCGATCGTCCATCTCTCCACCTGTTAGAACCACTCAATAAGCCTGCTGCACAACTGCGGAGTACAACTGCTTCAGGTTTCACCTGCATTCCTGGCTGAAGTTGAATCAACTCTTGAGCCATAGCTCCTGCTCAATTAGAAGACGTGAGTTTGTGATGTAACGTATTAAATGAAGTATTGCCTACCTCGCGCTGCTTTTATACTGCATGATAATCAACTAAGAGGGTGTTTACGTCCACAATGTTTATTCTCATTCATTTTTCTCTATACGTAAACTAATAGAGCAGTCTGTTTTCTTCTTGCACATCTTTTTTGGTCTCAGAACTCACAATAGTCTCTTGAAAAGTTCACGTGATTAGGTGCGTGAAAAGACCAATGGTAAAGGCAGCGCAGGGCTATCGCAATAAACGGGGGCTTTGTGGTGGGGGCATTTTAGATTGCACGAAACATCTCCGTTTCTGTAAGATCGGGAGTATAAAGTGCTACCTGAGCCTTATGGTTAGCTCAATCTTCATTTTTCTTCGAACCTTTTGCCCCTTCCTAGGCTTATGGTTAGTCCTAGAGGGAGCCTCAGTGTTTTACGATAGCGCCACTAATGCCCTTGATGCCTATTTTCAAGGGTCAATTTGTAATGTGAGCACATGTAAACGTTAACAATGAAAGAGACTGATGTCTTTGGTTTGGACCGCGGTCAATGATGGGACAAGTTCATGATTGTGCGCAGCGCGATGCTGAAATCAGGTGGCTGCCATGGTAAATCCGTGGACACGCATACTCACTCCGTGAGATATGGACTGCAGCTACGCAAAACAATGGTGACATTAGCTTGAACTTACTTTGGCAAGGGGGAAAAACGAGCCATTGAACTACCTTATGATTTATTCTAATATAATGGCACAGACGGGCGGAAGTGGTGTAGTGGCAAGTGGCACGCGAGCGGTCCGGGGATCAAATCCTGGGTCGTGAGTCGCCCGGGCCAACCAAGCCTTCCATCCCTCCGGGGTCGGTTAATTGGTACCAGACTTGTCTGGGAGGATAAAAACACTGACTTGTACATCGGCTGGCCCCGCAAGTCATTGTATAGGCCACATCGCATTCAAACGCCACTACGAATACAAATGGCAGTAAAAACGATTGATCAACGGCAAATGCTTTATCCTTTATTTTAT